GAAATGGACACCAATCAGTTCAAAAGGAATGAAAATTTGAGATTTTTGTTACTTTCATACCGTCAGCTGTAGATTCTTCTTCATTAAAAAATGAAAAACCAAGAGCGGTTTAGCTTGAACCCTGAAACTGTTTAAGCCAATGAAGTCGAGGTATTCCTTTTGTGTTTCGTTACGCAGAATCCTTATCGGATCTTCATCACTGGTTCTTAAACGAAGTGCAACTTCGTCAGGATACTGAGAAACACATTCCATAAAGAAACGCTTCATGTCACGGGTAAAATCCAGGAGGAAAGAACCAGCTGCACACCACAACACTAGCACATGATAGAATCAAAAAGTTTAACCATCCAAGAACAAAACTGAAAAGAAAACAAGACTTATTATTACCCCCAGGATCCACATCGATTTTGAGATCAGCGAATGAGCTCTTCTCACGCTTCATATTCCATAAGAGTGTGTTTATCGAACGTTGTGCACCGTATGCCTCTTTCGAATTGATTATTGTGGAGTATATGTTTTTTGTAGTTACATCCACTTCCACATTCTCAATCCATATAACCTCACATTCTGTAGGTCCATGTTCCCTGATTATGACCCCTGATGGTCTCTTTTCACTATTTCTAAAACCACAAGGATCAATAAAATAACGGCTTGTGACATCAACAATAACGTAAATTCCATCCATTATCCGTTTCCCGTATCGTAAAAACTCGAAATATCTTGTCGGCACCAATGTTGATGGTAGTTGAATCTCTGCATGCACCTATGCCAAACATATATGCATGGAACGTGGAAGTTTATTATAGGGGGCAATCTCAGTTTAACAAACATGTATGGGCTGATGGAGATCAGTTTACCTGTACTACACCCTCGATGGATGCATCAGTCATGCTTAAGTTCCGAATACTGCCTGTTACTCTATCCTCATATGCATGTTTGACAAAGGGAAACAATGTCCTAGACCACTTGGTGTTCTGGGAACATATATACAGCAAGAACATAAGGGACAACTAAAACTGAATTAATGGAGCAAGAAAGCGAGCATGGGACAACTTCTAATAGTTATGAACTACCGATTTGGCATTGATACACAAAACTTGAAATATAAGAAAAGCATGAAATACTCACCACATGCATCATAATAGCGACCAATTCGGATGCTCGGATATCTGGAACGACCGCAGTTGCAACAGAGAATTCTATCTTTTTTCCAGGCAGAGGAGGAGTTCGGAACTCATTTAAAAGATCATCCAGATTACCTAACCCAGGCTTCGCTCGAACCCAAGTGCCTGCTTCCAATGCCAATGTCATGACCTCCAGGTAAGCTGCCTTACAGTGATTGTTTGCAAATTGCAATTTTGGTAGTCACTAACTAGTCGTTTATATTTTCTGAACACAAATGGAGAGTCTCTATTGGCAGATGTTTTATCTGCAGAAGAGGATCCAATGACTTTGCGTTCCTTTGCAAAAGCCTCAATTCTTTCTTTATCTTCCAAAGCTTCATCTGTAGAGTCTTCAGAATCATCTAGACATATCCACATGCGCCTAGAAGATCCAGGAAACTGGCAAAACCAAAGATTTAAGTATCGTTTTAGTTCTCTGAATTGCCGCAATTAAATACTAAAATGTTTCATCTTCATTGTTTCAATAACGAAAATTGGGGAAATTTACACTTTACCGGTCTAGAGTCCATGGTTGAATCTTCGAAACCTTGGTTTCCAAGACTGTATACGACATAATGGATCAAAATTGAAACTCAAGTTTACAAAAGAAAAAAAAAACCTACCTGAAGAAGATTAAATTATCTTTCCAAGAATCAAAATGTAGTGATTCAAGAAACTAATGTAATACATACATACCTTTGTCAAGAAAGGCAAACGATAACAGAAAAGGAAGAAGGATTAACGAAGAACAGGTTGAGTATAATGAAAATCTTTACAAGATTCGTTTGTTCTTCGATACTGATGATGATTCAAACCAAGTGCAACCTATCTTTCAATTGAATGTAGGAAAACGGATACTGAAAAGGATAAAATGGATACAAAAAGAGCAGAGAAAATACCTCGGAAAACAAGAAGTCAAAATTTTCCTCATGCGGAGAAAAATAGCTCTGAAAATGGGATTTAAAGAGGGTTTTTAAAGTGAAACGAAGGGTCGTTCGTTTCTGTTTTCAGTTATATTCCCGCCAGAACTTGAAAATTTTCCGAAGGGTTTAAGGGATAATAGACACGTGTTTTTCTTCGATTTGTCAGCTTTTTATATATAAATATATTAACTTTTACCCAGAAAAACTAATTTCTCCTTGGCGATACTTTATTAATTAATAATATTTATTTTTATAAAAAATTATATTTTCATATTATGCTTTTATTTTATTCTTTAGAATTCATTTGAGATATGAAGGGGTAAGAAGGAATAAAAGGGATGTTAGAATGTGATTGCACTTTTAAAAATTTTAAATTGTTGTATAGTCAAGTTATTTTTATATTTTTTATCGGTTATTTAATTTCATATTTCTTAAAATTTTATAATTTTATTTAAATTTTTAACATAATTTTATAAGTTTATACCCTTACCATGAACTCCTATGCATGTCCCTTGTTTTATGAGTATAAATGTAAAATATAAATATATATTTAATATGTATTAATTCTTTTACAATTTATTAACTATTAATTTGTCTAATACGAAGATTTCAATTTCATCTCTAGTGTTAAATTTCTTAAACAATATTAGTAGTTTAAATCATAACATTATGGATAGAGCGAACTAAATTAAAAGAATCATTTACATAATAAATATATAAATTACTTCATCCAAATTAATCGTCTAATAAATCAAACATAAATAATTACAATAAAAATATTTCAAAATTTCAAAAATCCTTAAAAGAGTCTTATTGACATGCCCATATTCATATATGTATATATTGGATAAAAGTATTATGTTTCTTTAAAAATATTGAAAAATCTAGAAAAATCTTTAAAAATACTAAAAGTTGAAAAAAAAAACATTTAATTTTAGAGAAAAATATTATTTTACAATGTGGATATAACATATTCGGCCCACACGTCTATATAAACAAAGGAAATAACTAGTTCCAAGCATGATTCTCTGCTTCTTTCTTTACCCTTTTGCATTTGCAATACTCGGACTATCCACCTTCATCTGCAGATGATAATGCAGCAGCTCCTATGGCTGCGGAGAAGCCAACCGAGTGGCACATCCCTTGACGATGAGTCAAACACAAGAGCTTTAGGTGTTTCTTGTTAAAATCAATTAATCTTGCATGCGGAAGCAATTAACACATAAGGATATTGAAAGGGTAATTAAATCAACAAAATCAAACTGATCATGACATAATTATTAAGAATTACAGTAAAAGGAATGAAAACTTACTTGATGATTCCATTTTGAAAGTTGAATATACCAAAAGCAAGGAATAATAAATGTTATTCAATCCCAATACTGTATAATTTTCAATTCGCCTTGTGATGATATCAAGACTTGTTTAATTCTTGATGAAAGAATCAGAACCCAAAACATAGAGTGTTATTGTTTTCTTTTTAAGAGAGGAGAGAGCATTGAAAAATAAAATTGTCAGCTACGTGAGTTTTAAAAAAATTAATTCAACTATGTTTTTTAAATCACAAAATAACCGAAAGGTCCCTCTACTTTTTCAGTTACACATACCACCACTCAAACTTATATTTCTTCTTTACAGTCAGTTGCTTTTTTTGCAGCCATGTTCAAAATTTTCATTTTGTCAAGAAAAGCATCCGAGGTACAATGAGAATTAACAAATATGAACCAGTGATTACAAGCTTTTTAACAACTCTTCGGAATGCCATGGATGAATGCTTAGCTAATTTATGCTATTAGGGATTGTTTGATTCATTCTTATCTCTTCACGGTTGCTTCAAGCTTCCATAAATTTTTAGTTCCCTTAACTTCTCATAAGGAATTTACCCATCGCACATTTCACCATTTAATCATTGATGCATAGATAATTCATTTTCTCATATGCCTGTGCAAAACAAAAATGATCAATTCTAGTTGGCTCGTCACTAATGTTTTACTTGTCGCATTTTTTTTGTAGGATTGGATCCTTGAGCCTACTTCCCATGGTGAATCATTGCTAAAGTTTTGTGGTGAGAAATAGGATTATGATGAATGCTAGTTGAAGAACAATATAGCTGTAAGGAACAGATGTGAATCCAGTAACATTCAGAGCTCTACATACAATGACCAAGAATATGAGTTGCTGTATAAACTGTTCGATTAAACTATTGACATTTACAAGGATTTGCAGGTAATAACAAATCTCTGATCTTCTAAGCATCACATCCCAAAAAATATCAGGGATGGTAAGAGTTGTTTGCAACCTCCTTTGTCCTATGGCATTTCCCAATTATTACATGTTACAAAATTCTTCTCTTTTTTTTCACGACTGTTTGCTGCAAACAAGTTCACATCTTGTGGGTGGGCCTCTGCAGCATCGATTTGTCATTTGACGTGATTTAGGGTCACTGCCAATATAGTTTCGGATATCATCATTTTCCAGGCCATGAATTTTCCTATTCTTTTTGGCTTAATTAAAAAATAAGTACCTATATTTTTTGTCAAAGTAGTAACCTAAGGTATATTGCCTTTTTCATCTAGGTACCTATAATATTTTTTGGTCAAACAATGTACCTAAGGTGTACCACCTTTTTCATGTAGGTACCTAAAGTATTTTTTAATAGATGTCATGTCTCAACTTTAGTTAGATGAAAATATGACATATTTTAGGTATATACTTGATAAAAAAATACATTAGGTATCTAGGTGAAAAAGATGGTATACTTTAGGTACTTTAACCTAACCAAAAAATATTTAAAGTACTTGAGATGAAAAATGTGGTATATTAAAAGGTATCTATTTCTGAAATAAGCCTTTCTTTTTTTATAGCTGATGGGGGATTTGCATCTGGGAAATTTCATGCAAACATACCTGGTAGTTGGTGGGGTGGGGTTTTTAAGTTAGCGCTCATTCTCATAACTTGACAGACGAGAATCTGATAGAACAGTGAATAATTGTGTGTCTACAAACAGCTGCAAACAACAAAAGAAAATTATTTAGTAATGGAAGCTGTTCAGTAACCCATAATTTACATCATCTACACACTTTTTCAGTAGTATGGATGAGTTGTATTCTTTGCTTTTGCTAGTATCAGTAGTTTAAACAAAAGTAGTCTATTGAGTTCAAGTTTGGTTGGCATCATTGTCGTTCCAGCATGTTTAAACATGTAATGTCCTGTTAATGGATTTGAGAGGGGTTTAAGTAGTTTAAACATTGTATCAAAAAATATTAAAACGAAAGGAGAGAAAATACCTTAATGAAAGGCTGGTCATTGACCGGAAAAGAGTGGATAAAACTATCTTTAAGTAGTATAGAAACCTGTTGGTTAATCAAACACGTAAAATCAAGCTGAGAAAATATGTGCATTTCTGCATCGATATTCTTGGGAAACAAACTGGAAGAACAAGAAGATAAGTGCCAACCCTGTCATCGTTCGATTGTACATTAGTAATTGTGTGAGACCTCAGGTTTTCACAAAGCGACTCTAGGTATTCCCTCATGACTGCCAAAAATTGGGTTGCGGCTTCAGCCTGAATCGGTAAACCGGAAAGTAGGAAGTTAGTTTTTGTTGGAAAGATGGATATGAAAAAAGTAAAGATGAAAAGGATTGGAGATTAACATATTCTAAGAAATAAGTGCTTAAGTTGTAACATGAAACATTTGGTTATGGTGATGAATAAAGCACCTGCGCTTCATTGCACCTATATGTAGGATGCTTTGTTAGGTATGGCTCATAAATATACCAGTACAGGGTTAATTTTGTAATTATGTACCAGGATTTTCTATTATAAATAGAGATGTAACCTAGACCTAAAATATCATTGAATAAAAACTTCTAGCGCCGCCTAGGCACCGAGGACGTAAGCACATTGCCGAACCTCGTAAAATTCTCGTGTTCTTTTGTTTTCTTTACCCATTTTCGTCAACAATTGGTATCAGATGTCAGGAGCAAAATTCGAAGTCGCGAAATTCGATGGTCAGGGTAACTTCGGATTATGGCAAACGAGGGTGAAGGATCTATTGGCGCAGCAAGGGATCTTGAAGGCTTTGCGATCTACAAAGCCGGCGTCGATGGATGAGGAAGATTGGGAAGAATTGCAGCAGCGAGCGGCAGGAACCATACGATTATGCTTGGCGGACGAGGTCATGTATCACGTCATGCGTCTATCGTCTCCAGACGAAATTTGGAGGAAGTTGGAAAGTCAGTTTATGTCCAAATCCTTAACGACAAAACTGTATCTGAAGCAGCGGCTGTATGGGCTGAAGATGCAGGACGATCACGATTTGGCGCAACACGTGAATGTCTTCAATCAAATCGTTTCTGATCTGGCTCGGCTTGATGTGAAAATTGAGGATGAAGACAGAGCGATGATTCTGTTGTGTTCGTTGCCTCCCTCTTACGAACACATGGTGACTACTCTTACATATGGGAAAGAGACTATCAATGTTGAGGAGATTACTGCAGCCTTGTTGGCTCACAACCAGCGGAAGCAGAATGCAGGGGAAAGCTCTCAAGCCGATAGCTTATATGTCAATGGTAATCGAGATCGTGGACGGAAGCCAGAGAAGGCAGGGTCCGGGAAGCGGAATTCCAGATCCAAATCCAGGGATAAGAAGACGATTCACTGTTACAAGTGCAAGGAGGCGGGACATATGAAGCGAGACTGTCCGAAGTTGAAAAAAGCAGACTGATGAGAAGCGTGATGGCTCATCCAAGTCTGTGAACGTGGTCGAGGATGATAATTCTGATTGCAGTGAGGGTGATATGCTTTCTATTTCAACGACACAATTGACGGATGCTTGGATTCTTGATTCTGGATGTTCTTATCACATCACGCCAAATAGGGAATGGTTTTCGACATACAGGCCGGTTAATTCTGGTTCGGTTTATTTGGGTGATGATCGATGTTGCAATATTGTTGGTATTGGTGATGTCAGAATTAAGATGCACGATGGCTCCGTTCGGACGTTGAGTGGTGTTCGACATATCCCAGACTTGAAGAAGAATTTGATTTCCTTGGGCACTTTGCACAAGAATGGTTTTATCCCTAAGGCTGACGAGGATAGGGAAACCATTCGGATTGTTAAAGGAGCATTGACTGTGATGAAAGGCAAGATGACTGCATGGAATATCTACAGATTGTTAGGGAGTACCGTTGCAGGTGGAGTTCACTCTGTTGAGTCCTGTGATGATACGACAAAATTGTGGCATATGCGCCTTGCTCATCTTAGTGAACGTGATATGGCAGAATTACACAAGAGAAACTTGTTGCATGGTGTCAAAAGCTGTAAGCTCGACTTTTGCAAGTATTGTGTTCTTGGTAAACAGACTAAAGTCCGTTTCAAGACTGCGAAGCACACAACTCAAGGGATTCTTGATTATGTGCATTCTGATGTATGGGGGCCTTCCACGACATCGTCTTTGGGTGGATCTAGGTACTATGTTACTTTTATTGATGATTTTTCACGGAAAGTTTGGGTGTATTTTTTGAAACAGAAATCTGAAGTTTTTGAGAAGTTCAAGCTGTGGAAAGCTGAGGTAGAAAACCAAACAGGACGAAAAATCAAGTGTTTGCGGTCTGACAATGGTACGGAGTACACAGATTCACAGTTCCTACAATTCTGTAAGGAGCATGGGATTCAGAGGCATTTTACAGTGCGCAAGACACCACAACAGAATGGTGTTGCGGAACGAATGAACAGGTCGTTGAATGAAAGAGCCAGATGTTTGCGGTTGAATGCGGGGATTCCCAAACACTTCTGGGCTGAGGCTGTTAACATGGCGTGTTACCTTATCAACAGATCGCCAAGGGCATCGCTGGCTGGGAAAGTTGCAGAAGAGGTATGGACTGGTCATGATGTTATTTTTGATAACTTACGGATTTTTGGTTGTCCTGCTTATGTGCATGTACCTGCTGATGAGAGATCCAAACTTGATGCAAAATCGAAGAAGTGCATTTTTCTGTGTTACAAGAAATGTGTCAAAGGATTCAAGTTCTGGGATCCAGTTGCGAAGAAAGTTGTGATTAGTAGAGATGTATTTTTGATGAACAATCCATGTTGCAGCAGAAGCAAGACACGACAGTGGTGGATTTCGAGCAGTTTCCAGTTGAGAAACCAGAAACTTCTCAACCGACTTCTGGTGGTTCCACTACGGATGATTTGCAGGATTATAGTCTCGCCAGAGACAGGGTGAGACGGACGAATATAAAGCCTCCGAACAGATTGGGTTTTGAAGACTTGGTATCTTTTGCACTTATTGTTAGCAGTGATGATCCGATTACTTTTCATGATGCCGTTACTAGTCAGGAAAACGACAAGTGGATGGCAGCCATGGTTGAGGAGATGGAGTCTTTGAATCACAATCGCACATGGGAGTTAGTTCCCCTTCCTGAGGGTAAAAAGCCGATTGGTTGCAAATGGGTGTATAAGAAGAAACCAGTAGTAACAGAAAAAGAGGGGGAGAAGTTCAAGGCTCGTTTGGTAGCGAAGGGTTTTTCACAGCAGAAAGGAGTTGATTATGATGAAATCTTTTCTCCTGTGGTCAGGCACACTTCAATCCGAGCAGTACTTGCATTGGTGGCTAGTTGTGATTTGCATTTAGAGCAGATGAATGTTAAAACTGCTTTTTGCATGGTGATTTAGAGGAGCAGATCTACATGCGGCAACCTGAAGGTTTCACTCAACCTGGAAACGAGCATTTAGTTTGCAGATTGAAGAAATCTTTGTACGGGTTGAAACAGTCTCTGAGACAGTGGTATAAACGGTTTGACTCCTATATGATCAAGATTGGCTACAACCGATGTGAGTATGATTGTTGTGTCTATGTTAAGAGCCTTGATGATGGTTCTTTTATTTTTCTATTACTGTATGTTGATGATATGTTGATTGCTGCGAAGAACATGGATGATGTTATCGGTTTGAAAACTTTATTGAGTCAGGAATTTGATATGAAAGATTTAGGTGCTGCAAAGAAAATTCTTGGAATGGAAATTTGCAGGGACAGAGACTCAAGGAAACTGCGGCTATCTCAACGGGGTTATGTTGAGAAAATGCTAGAAAGGTTTGCGATGAGCAGCGCAAAACCAGTTAGCACTCCATTGGCGAATCACTTTAAGCTCTCATCAGAACAGTGCCCCAAGACAGATAAGGAAGCTGAAGATATGGCAAAGGTTCCGTATTCTAATGCTGTTGGCTGCTTGATGTATGCGATGGTATGTACTCGTCCTGATTTAGCTCATGCTGTTAGTCAAGTTTGTAAGTACATGTCTAAACCTGGTAAGCAACATTGGGAAGCAGTCAAGTGGATCTTTCGGTACTTAAAGGGTACTGTGGGACATGGAATTGTTTTTGAGAGTCAGCGGGATAATCCTTTGGTTGTAGGATATGTGGATTCAGACTATGCAGGTGACTTGGATAATAGAAGATCTACGACAGGGTATGTCTTTACTCTTGGTGGAGGGCCTATTTGTTGGAAGTCTATTGTTCAATCTATTGTGGCTCTATCTACAACTGAAGATGAGTACATGGCAGCGGCTGAAGCTGCAAAAGAAGCTTTATGGCTTACTGGTTTAGTGAAGGAGTTGGGTGTTCAACAAGGTGGAGTTCAGTTGCTTTGTGATAATCAAAGTGCTATTCACTTGGCTAAGAATAAGGTGTATCGTGCTAGAACTAAACATATTGATGTAAGGTTCCACAAGATCAGAGAGTTGGTTGCATCTGGAGAGGTTTTGTTTCAGAAGGTACATACTGATGAAAATGCCGCTGATATGTTCACTAAGCCAGTTACGACAGACAAGTTCAAGCATTGCTTGGACTTGTTGAATGTTTCGAGTTGTTAAAGAATCAAGGTAACCCAACCCACATTGAATTTTCAAGAGGCAGGATATTCGCCAAGGTGGAGATTTGTTAGGTATGGCTCATAAATATACCAGTAAAGAGGACAGGAGATGGAGCGGAGTGAGCGAAGCGAACGCAGCGAACATCAACTGTCCTTACAAAGAAAGTCTCGTTGTGGGGTTACGAATTATGTGGGTTGGGGGTGCGGGGGCGCAACCCCCGCGGTACGGTACAGGGTTAATTTTGTAATTATGTACCAGGGTTTTCTATTATAAATAGAGATGTAACCTAGACCTAAAATATCATTGAATAAAAACTTCTAGCGCCGCCTAGGCACCGAGGACGTAAGCACATTGCCGAACCTCGTAAAATTCTCGTGTTCTTTTGTTTTCTTTACCCGTTTTCGTCAACATGCTTCTTAGCAATCGAGCCTTCATAGGAGAGTCTCGAATGTATCGGCCCTAGTTCCGATACAAGTTCTTTACGTTGAGGAAGTGGCGGCACGTAACATGTTTTCACCTGAAGAACAGCCGGGAATACTCGGAGTTAGGGCATGGGTAGCCGAAGGCAACTGAATAATAGTCCATGTAGAACATTGTAAACTGCAAGTAAACTCCACCCAGTTTTAAAAAAATTTGTAACCAAACATACAAGACTGTTCAGAAACCATTAAAAAGGACCTGTTTCTTAGGCAGATTAACTTGAACAAGATTAGATGTTGTTTTCATTTTCAAATCAGCGGGTTTATCTTGTACGCCAACCTACAAAATGAGAGAAACAAGGAGCTAAATTAGGCCCATTTCTATTGATAACAAACAATTCAATGCCCTTTCCTTTAAGAAAGATTTTGGATTCTCATCTTGTTAGATAAAGAAAACGTTGGGAGAACAATCTCTTTATTTATTTACATAATATTATTAAAACACTGTAACTCACAAGAAATGGAACAGGTGCATCAAGAAAATCAAGCATCGTCACCGGCAGAACCTAAATGCAAAATGAGAATTTCACAGGATGAGAATAGAGGGATGATCTTATGCAACGAAACTACAATATCATACATTAAAATATCAAAGCAATTCAAAAAAAAAATTCATCAAAATATTTTTTTTTTCAAAGAGTCTCATAACTCAAGAAATAAGAGCAGCCATGATAGAGGTTACAGAGATTACCGGAAGTAATAGACTTTGCCATTGAAATGGACGAATGATAGGAATAAGCGCTAACACAACAGCCGATAGAACGCCCTGCATTGATGAAAATTAGTGTCACTGCCAGGGTACAGTTTACAGTTGCAAGAAGATAAACACTACATGCAGGAGACAGAAATGCAAATACAATCTCTTAACTGATTAACTTACCAAATTCGGGCAAACTACTACAACCTGTTTTTCCAGTAGTACTCCTGCGAGCACATCCAAAATCTGCAAGAACCAATCATAAGGTGAGACCAAATCAAACAAAAATAACACAGGAAATGCCTGTAGGAACTTCTAAGATATCACAACGGCTATTCTCTCTCAAATGAACGCAAGCATAGATGGTCAAAGTAGCTATTCCTCGTAGAGTTGAGCTAATGTCTGAATTAGCAATTTCGTTCCAGTCCAACTTCTTTTACTTCAAATGCATTATTTGCAGAGTAAAGCATTAAAGTTTCGGCATGCGTATACATGCTCTTTCAAAATCTTATTAAGATAAGAAAACAGTTCAGTCTTATTTTTTTCTTTTGCTGCTCAATTAATGAAATCCCAACAATATCTGTGTTCCCTAGTTATTTGATTTTTATGACTGAAAGGCCATTTAAGACAACTTTAGCATGTCTATGCCTACACTTATTTACATTTGCAACTCGAATGCTAATGGTTATCAACACAGATAAAGTCAAACTGAATAGGTATGCATCAAAGAACATTACACCATCAAGAGAGAAACTCGGCAAATCGTTGCAGTTGTCCATACTGAAAGTGCAAGAGCTTCCTCCGCTGCCGCCAATTTTGCATTGATCTTTCAGCAAGTTGAGTGACATTTAAGTAAATATACATGTTACACAAGGAGCAATTGACTGAAAATATTGTTAACAAAGAAATACCCCAGCTGCTTCAAATGAATAAAAATAGCTTTCATCCAATGCAAGGGCTGAAATAGGAGGTCTCTCGTACTCAATAGCCTGTAAATGCTCAAGAGGCTGGAAAACTATTTCACTTCCTCGTGGAGGAAGAGCTAAAGCATGATAACCAAAAACTATCTGTAGAAGATCATTCTTGTTTTCCTATCAAAGAGATCAGATACTCGAAGATCAAGTGGTAATCCAACAATCACAGTCTATGTTACCCGGACTCTTCTTTTTCTTGAAGAATCCGTGGGCATATTTTTGAACCCTCCAGAGACATGAAAAAACTTGGTAAAGAATACTCACACTTAAGTCCGAGTAACGTAGGCCACATCGATATGCAAAAAATCAGAAACAGCAGAAAACTAACCTTAGCCCATTCCAATATCGAATCATCTCCACATTCTTTTTCATTATTCCAGAAGAGGTCATCATCCTCGTCATTATCTTCTGATGCCAGGCTTCTAGCTGGACTGCCAAAGATAACAATATATTACTGAAATTGTGATGGGAAAAACCGGGAAAAGAATCAAAAGAAAGTGAGAAGTAATGGCAAAAAGTAAAAACGAAGCCTACAAAATTAAAGACGTAAGAATCTCCTTCAATTGTACTAATGCAAACTTCTTTTTTTGAGGAATATTATAATGCAACTTAAATAAATCAGTTAGTTAATCATAATTCACCACCTGAATAGCGATTGAGTAGAAGTGCAGCTCCTCAAGCTGACAACTGATCCAATATCTGAAGAATTTTGCCCATTTTCAAAGTTGCCGTTTATTCTTTCTGAAGCACTGATACGATTTTCTGAGGCTTCGGATACATTATCATCAATATAGAGGACTCTTTCTAAAGCCTCACTAGAAGTTACACTTTCAGGTGAAAGTGGCGAACCTATCTTTAAAGAAGCAGATGAAACCTCATCATTGGCAGTAGCATCACCAAGAATCACTGTACTGTTAGAAGGCATTGCAGAAGCCATCCAATCATTAACATACTTGTTATCGGGATTGTCAGCGATGGTGTTATTATTTGTTTGATCATCTTGTTTTGAGAAAGATAGTGCATTATCATTGAGAGATGGATTCATTTCACTAACAACTTCAGTTATTCGATTCAGGCGCTCCTGTGCAATGATACTGCATGCAAGTAAGATCTTAAGAATTCAGTTATCAACAAGATTATGGTAGTAGTTAACATATATTGGATTATGCAAGACTTGAATATTGAGATTTTATTGATTTGCTATCACATATGTACAGCATACTTATATACAGCAGGAGAATTCAAGAAAACAACTCTAATAGGAGCAGTTAAGCCTAACAAACCACAACCGTTCCATAACAGAATTACAGCTCATCAATTAACCAGCTCAGCATTAATTGACTTTCTAGAAGTCGCAAGCTAAATATGCAGTATGCCTCTTCCTCTAATATTCTTCCTGCTTCTTTCCTTCTGTTGATTAACTTTGCTGCACACACATTTTGGCTCTGAATTCTTCAAATGTAGCCTTAGACAAAGGTTTTGTGAACCCATCAGCTGCCTGATGCATGGCAGGAACATAGTTGACACAAAGTTGGCCAGCTGTCACCTTCTCTCGAACAAAATGTATGTCAAGCTCCACATGCTTCGACTGAGCATGATACACCGGATTAGCACTCATGGCAACTGTGCTTGTGTTATCACACCAGACGATGGGCGTGCATTTTTGCTTAACACCAAGATCATCCAACAGAGCAGTGAGCCACGTGACATCTGCAGTGGCGTCTGCAACGCTCTTGTATTCGGCTTCCATAGTGGATCGAGAGACTGTTTTTTGTTTCTTCGACGACCATGTAATCAAGCACGGCCCTAAGAACACTCCGAATCCCGAAATAGACCGTCGATCATCAATATTGGAGCCCCAATTCGCATCAGCGAAAGCAACTACATCTAAACTTGCAGCACAGGAAGGAGAAAAAACCAAACCAAAATCCAAGGTAGCAACCAGGTATCTCAGTATACGCTTAACTGCTGTAAGGTGCAAATCTCTAGGGGAGTTCATGAATTGAGCAACTTGCCCAACACTGAAGGAGATGTCAGGCCTTGTATGACAAACGTATAGAAGAGAGCCAACAATGCTGCGATATTCAGTTGCATTGGTGATCAATACCCCCTCATCACGTGAGAGTTTGGAGGAAATAACCATAGGTGTACTGCAGCCAGTAGCATTTACCATACCAGTTTTCTCTAAGAGCTCCTTAACAAATTTCTTTTGACTCAAGACAACATTCTGACCAGATCGTTTGACTTCAATTCCCAAGAAGTATCGTAACTCCCCTAGATCTTTCAGTGAAAATCTGTCCTTAAGTATAGCCACAACTTCTTCCACATCAGTCAACGAACTTCCTGTAATAATAATGTCATCGACGTATACGAGTACGTATATGAAACCTTGAGGTGAACGTTTGTGAAATAAAGAGGGGTCAGCAAGAGACACCATAAAATCCATTTGTACCAGATTTTGTTTTAATTTATCGTGCCAATTCCTGGGTGCCTGTCGCAGCCCGTATAATGCCTTTTGAAGTTTGCAAACAAATGGCTTACCATGTTCATTCACTTTCTCGAAACCAGGGGGTTGCTGCATGTACACTTCTTCGAGCAAATCCCCATTAAGAAAGGCATTATTAATGTCTACATGCCTTAGAGTCCAGCCATTGTTGACTGCAACTGCAAGGATTGCATTAAAGGTCGAGAACCGAATGACAGGGCTGAACGTTTCTTTGAAATCATAGCCAGGTATTTGCGAGAATCCCTTGGCTACTAAACGTGCCTTATAACGCTGCACCGAGCCATCTGGATTGTGCTTTACTTTGAACAGCCATTTGCACCCAACAACACTTCGATCATCTGGCAAGGTAGTTAAAATCCAAGTATTATTTCTTAACAGAGCATCATACTCATCACAAGCTGCTTGTTTCCAGTGTTCCATCTGAAAAGCCTCGTGTATTGAGTTGGGGACATAATCATCGTAAGTCGCAGCATATGCCTTTGGTTTGAACACACCACATCGGCTGCGAGTCATCATGTGGTGAATTCGTTGAGGTGCACATGGCTCATCATTAGAAGCAGGAGCAGTTTCTTCAGGTGCTAAGTCTAGCTCAGCATTGATCACATCGTCCTGGTTAGAGAGCGGATCAGAATCATCATTAGTAGGCTGAGTAGAGGAAGAATTCTCATGTTGATGCGCGGAAGGAGAACCAGCACTGCTAGAGGACTCCAAGGGCATCAAAACTTCATTACCATTGCCTGCATTATTAGAAATTTCAACATCATTCCTTGCATCATTTGATATTGATTGGGAGACTTGATGATGCGTGGCCTGGAACAAAGGCTGTTTGGAATCTGCCACTATACTTAGCGATGGTGACAACGTGGAAGGTGCATTCAAGATATGTGCATCAGTATTAGTATCAGCACCTGAAAAGGAAACACAAATTCGTTAAAAACTACATGACGAGAAGTGTACACTCGACCATCTGGGGCCAGGCATAGATAGCCTTTATGTTGTGGGCTGACACCAAGATACACACACGCTATTGACCGAAAAGCAAGTTTGTGATTCAGAAATGGTCTCAAGTTAGGGAAACATTGACAGCCAAATACTCTCATCATCCTATAGTCAGGTTTTTTATGCATGAGCTTTTCAAAAGGTGACATCCCTTGAAGAACCTTAGTAGGTAACCTGTTAATCAAATGAACCACAGATACAACTGCATAAGACCAATACTTGATTGGCATGGCAGATTTAGCAAGTAAAACGAGTGCAAGCTCCACAATGTGACGGTGCTTTCGTTCGACTACACCATTTTGCTCGGAGGTGTGGACAACTCAAACGATGGACAATGCCTTGCTTGGCCAAGAGAGGAGACAAGCTGCGAAACTCGCCCCCCCAATCACTCTGAACTGCCATGATCGAGTAACCAAACTGCCTATCAACAAGCTTTTGAAACAAATTAAATGCTACAACAGCCTCATCTTTGCTTTTCAGGAGATAGAGCCAAGTATGTCTAGTGAATGCATCAACAAACGAGACATAGTATCGAAAACCATTAGATGCAATATGTGGAGGTCCCCACAGATCTGTGAATACAAGTTCAAATGGAGTAGAAAAAACAGTATTTGATTCATTAAACGGCAACTTGTGGCTCTTGCCCATATAGCAAGCAGTACATGCTTTGTTTACATCGAATTTTAATTTGAAACCAAGGTCATTAGACAAACTAGCTAATATAGGAGCTGCCGGATGTCCAAGACGCCTGTGCCACAACTCATCAACGGAATCTTTAACATATGTAGCATGCACCTCAGCCATACAAGCAGCAGGAGCATCATTATTAATCGCAAACGAGTAAAGTCCACCACTCTCTTCACCTTGAAGCAGCAAACAACCAGTCTTCTCATCACGGATACAACACCGATTGGCATGAAATTCAAGGTAAACATCATTGTCCTTAGTAAGCTTCGAGACCAAAAGAAGGTTCTTAGTGATTTGAGGTACATGCAATAAATCATTAAGCAAAAGAACTCTAGATGCTGAAGAAACTGAAGATCTACCAACCAGATTAACATTAAGAGGCATACCATTGCCAACAATTAATTTACCTGGACCACTAAATTCAGAAGATTCCAGGATATTTGAAGCTTCTGTGGTAACATGATGTGTTGCCCCAGAATCGACCACCCACCTATACGAGCCATGAGCATGATTAATCACGTTAGCTTGAGCCACCCCAGAGGAATTAGGACGTCCTTTGCCACAGCAATTACACGTGTTGGCAGACGATGAAGATGAATCACCACTGTAAACCATTCGATTCTCAGATGTAACACAAGAAAAATCCTTGTCGAATCTGTGCCAGCATCGATCTACAAGATGGCCGACCTTGCCACACAATTGACACTGAAAACGTGATTTGCCTCGACCTCTACCAGCACCGCGAGAGTTTGTGGAATAACTGGATCGCGAATCCGCACAATTATTAGGGAAGGAAACACCACGCTCTTCACCCTGAGCAATATGCGTGCTCATTGGTATGACTTCGATTTGCTCATCAAACCCAGCTAGCTATATTTCAGCATCAAGAAGCATGGTATAAATGCTATCAATATTGAAAGTATCTTTCATGGTAGTAATAACAGCTACAAAGGACTGATACTCGCGTGGGAACCCTTTTAGTATACTGGCAATGCGTTCAACAGGAGGAACCGGGCTGCCACACGACTCCAAGGCATCGCAGACTTCTTTAACTCGTGTGAGATAGACTCTCATAGTATCACCACCTTTCTTCAAGGACTGCAACTTATAATGAAGGCTCATGACCGCAGTGGTTGATCGTGCAGAAAAGAATTGCAACACAGTGTTCCAAACAGCTGAGGCAGATTCGGCACCAACAAATTGAGGAAGAAGAGGGGCACTAATGGTGGAAAGAAGCCATAAGGCGAAGGCACTGTCTTGTGCAACAAATTCTTCATATTCTTCATTGATCTGAGCAACACCGTTATCATCAACAATTGTTTCTGGTGGTGTGGAAACTGCACCAGTGAGCAGTCGTTCCAGCCTATGGCTGCGAACAGTCAGTAGAACTTGTTGCTTCCAAAGAAGGAAGTTCATTTCATCGAGCATAACGTTGACCTTCTTATGGGAGAAGGTCTTCGAGTTTTGGCCAGGAAACTCCATTGTTGCAATCGTTACACAGCAGAAGCTAGGCAAAGAGAACCAGGACCATTGGCGATTGATACCATATTGGATTATGCAAGACTTGAATATTGAGATTTTATTGATTTGCTATCACATATGTACAGCATACTTATATACAGCAGGAGAGTTCAAGAAAACAACTCTAATAGGAGCAGTTAAGCCTAACAAACCACAACCGTTCCATAACAGAATTACAGCTCATCAATTAACCAGCTCAGCATTAATTGACTTTCTAGAAGTCGCAAGCTAAATATGCAGTATGCCTCTTCCTCTAATAACATATAACCTCAAATTTTGACAATAAACAATTCTCAAAGGTCATGGGGGTAGCGGATTAACCTGTTCAACATCTCATAGTGCAACTCAAAGAAAGGAACTCTAGTTAGCAAACAATAGCAGCGGGGTGCAGAAACCAGAAACTGGCTCCTTGCTCCTGAAATTTCAGAAAGAAGTGATGCACCAACAAAATTACCAGGCTGCCTTTTTACAAGTTCTGGTACATGCAAGCAAACACCATAAACCGTAGCATTTCCTGCCACCTAATCAAGAGAGCATAAAATGTTTCGCAATCAATATAAGTTTCTGTTTCTCAAACAAAGAAGTGAAATCAGAACCGGGAAATTCTTATCTTGTTATGGGATTCGGCTGTTTTCATTATTATGAACACTCAAAGCATAAGAATGGCTTCATTCAAACAAAGTGCCACATACAGAAGTGATAGCGTATTGAAAATTGGTGATCTCAGTGTCCAGAGTAACTTGTTTTTTAAAGATTCAGGTTAGAGGTGTTGTTCGGAAAGGATAACTTAAAAATGATAATAAGAAAACAAGAATTAAGAAGCGTTATCCTACTTAATGATGCCCCTCACGTTACCAGAAAAGTTACTTGTACAATTAAAGGGGACTGAGCTCACAGTTTAAACTCAGTTCTCCGTCACATCCATACAATTAAAGGGGATCGATCTCGTCGACATTAGCTTCAATGTGATATTAAAATGATGCAATTTACTGCCCCTAAATGTCATCCATCTTGCCCTTGACCACGTAATAGAAATGAACACCGTTTACTATGTCATCCCTTGTCAGTCAAGGTACAATAAAGGTATCCAGTTCGATAAAATGAAATATTAAATGCAATCATAATAAATGATTTATGAAGTGATAAAGGGGCCCATGAAGTTATTCTCATATATAAGGCTAGAAACTTCAAGTAGATCACACACAATGACACAATATGCTCACTTGTTGACCAAGGTACTTCAACTGATTTCATATAAACTACAAATGACAATGCCATAGAAAGCCCAAACTTCGACGAATCGATTCCATTTCCAACCTAAAATAGGTTAAATATCATAATGATAAAGTGAACTTTTAAATGCAGCGTGTGAACCAACAAAAGGACATACCGAGAAGCTAAACTAATAAAGTTCACACCAAGTTGACACCTTGACAGAGTATCACCCAAAAAAAATAGTAAGATCAAACCTCGACACCTCCAGGAAAACAAAAGGAGGCTAAGTCCTTCAAGCGCATAGATAACCTCTTCCCAGGAGGGTATCTAAAAAGTATCTGATAATAGGGGAAAAGGAAAGGGAAGACAAATAATGATTTCAGTGTATATGAAAATAAAATAAACACAAAGTAAATTAAACCAAAGTAAAAACATTCCTTAAAATGGTGGAAGGGGAAAGATTGAAAGGAAAGACACAATGAAAACTAAATTCTTGCTTCTGCAGTGGCATGGCCCTTATTTGCAAGGAGACATTAATCTCCATAAGGTACTGCAAACTTAATTAGGGAGCAATTTAACATACTGTCAACAATATAGAAGAGTTTCCTCGTGTTTAATGATGTAGTAAACCTTGGGTTCAAATATTGGAGCTGGAGGTCCGTGACTCTTTATCATTTTAAGATCTATCATTCCGGAGCTTTTCATATCTGTTTCCCAATTCTTCCTCTTAGCAGTGGTTTCCGCCACAGACCCAAGATCAGTATCAGGATGAATTCCGGCAATAATGAAGTGCTCGAAGACTGAAGTGGGCTGCTCATATATAAGCTTTTCCTGCAACAACATCCTCAAATTAGATTCCAAAACGCAAATAGAGATATATATCAGTATCCCATCATAATAACTTCCACTAACCATTTCATCTCAACATCTAAAATCTTTCAATTGATAGCAGATTTTTGTCAGAATCACTAACTTAAGGTATGCACTTGCGTTCCTACATTAAGGCATACTAGATTACTACAGAGTAGTATTTCAAGCATGAGAAAATAGCAAAATGTCTATCCAGTTTATGGATATCAAACTAAAACCAATTACCAATGGTCCTACCTGAAGGTAAGGCCAAGAAAACCTTAAACTAAAACATAAAATGGGATAATAACAATAAGATGGGCCATGTCTTACGACTTTCTATAACATCAGTGTTTGTCATATAAACCAATGATAATCAAGTGTAGGTAAGAAGCCCTTAGATCAACTAAACAGACATGCTATCATCCAATATAGTATCTGCATTATAGTAGTGTCTAGTGCATATAGCAAGTTTGGTAGAGACAGGCAATTAGTAGAGGTGTCACATTTAAAAGAGAGGAAACTTTACATGCATGAGAACCCAGAAAAAATGGAATTAACACGAGATTTTCCCACTATGTAATGTAAGTACTGGTGCAGGTTATATTTATTCTTCAAGAACAAGTTATATCCAATCAGAAAAATTTAAAGCTGCAGTTAATGCATACACTAACTGATCACACGAACACTGTAAAAAAAAGAATATAGAAGAAAGAAGAGGAAGAGGAAGAAATGGATCCAGATACCTTAGTTTTGGAGTGGAGTTGATACCACTGGCGTTTCTGGTTTGCCAGAACCTCGGGATTGAAGCTTGACTGGTACTTTCCATCCTTTGGAACTCCTCCCCATCGCAAAGCTTTCTGCATATAAGTTTTCATTCTCAGGAAATTATTATTACGCCGGTGCCCTGCAGCTAGAACTTCACTCTGAGTGCGCCTATGCCCCAATGGCGGCAACCTTGAAGGATCCGAGATCCTTGACTGCTTGAGATTTTGTGCCTCTCCATCCACTTTGTCTTTGACACCCTCCTTTTCCTCCTCCTCCAAAAGATGGTTTAATTCCCAGGGGGGTAATGGTGGATTGTCTTCATTTTCTTCAGCTTCTTCCTTGGTTTCCATGTCTAAAAACTTAATTGTTTCATCTTACATTTTGCTCATTGAGTCATTTCACCAAATAAATACAAATCTCTCCTCCATTAGATTGTCATCCATGTCCAATATAAAAACAAGCTCATACCTTATTCTTCTGAAATTAGACCAAGATATGAAATTATACCCTTTCAGTTGCTCTTGATTCTGTGACCTTCCAGTATATATTCTTCTGAAATCCAACACAAAAATGACCTCTTTTCACATAAAGTTAAAAATTTCAATGCCAATTCCTGGGCTGTATGATTCAGACACTACAACACCCTGTTGCAGAAAAAAACTGAATATGGTAAAAATTATTGCAAAGCTGTAAAAAAAACAAAAATGAAAATGGCAAACCAAAAACATATAAATTTCCAACAACTTTATATTCTTCAAATCTCAAAATGGAAAATCAACATAGAACCTCATTGTAAAGGAAATTTGATATTATAACATGGGATGAAATCGGAATTACGCAAAAATTAATAAAAAAGTAAAAAAGCGGCAAATTTAATTGGAAGAGCAACACGATAGATTCTTTCTTACCTGAAATTTTTTTCCTTTTGGATCTGTTTAGCAGAGTTTTGGTTCCTTCAAGCAAGAGAGAGAAATAGTACAATGCTAAAAATAGAAATGAGTTATAAATACAAAAAGAAGGAGAGGTTAAACATAAGAAAAGGAGATTAAGCGAGCTCTAGGCTTCTTTTTTCTTTAAAACGTAAAAAAATACATAAATAAAACAAAATACAACTAAATAAGTAATATGGCATTATATATATATATATATATATATATATGTGTGTGTGTGTGTGTGTGTGTGTGTGTGTGTGTGTGTGGAAGTAAATATCAAATGCTAGCTTAGTTCTTTTAGCTGAAAAAAAAAAGTTGCCTTCTGATTGTTTGGTTGGTTGGTTCAGGGTTTAGAGTTTCTTGTCACCCTATTCCTATGGCTGTTTCATGAAGCGAAATGTAGAATAAACAACAAGCCATGGAAATGCTAAACTAAAATAGATAACAGAGACCCTTTATCAAGAGTAAAAAAATTGAAGTCATTGAAGGAAAATGAATGACTTGTGAAGATACTCAAATCACGGCAATGGCCTTTGTTTTTTTGAAAGTGTATTCATCTTAATGCATCAAACAAAAGACAGACATTAACTTGCAATAAACGATAACGTATAGTGCTTTTTATCACCAAGGAAATTCAACGTGCATGTGGTGAGAATGCAATGGTGCCGAAAGAGGCTGGCTAAGCCAATGCCAAAGCAAAAACCTAAATTTCCCACCCAATTCTACCTTTTTTAAATGCACCGATCATTGCCTTACCGGTCTTCACAATTCTCGTTTCCCTTCGGCTTTCAGATTTTCGCAGTTCAGAGCTTGAGAACTATGCATTAATGGCGCCGATGATAATTGATGCTGCTATAGGATACAATCTCATTTTCTACATTAAGAGCGTCCTTCTCACGTAATATCGTCTAGTTGAAAACATATTGATTAATCAATTATTATTTTCACTGTTAATGACTATGAAATGAGGGTCTCAATTCTCAATCTGGAAGGCGCGTGGTCTGAACTCCCAGTAGAGCGGTGAAGAGATACAAAAGGAACATGTAACTAATGTTGACTTCTTTATTAAGAGAAATTGTCAATAAGTAATGTGATAGACAATAAAAAAAAATTAAGTGAAATGAAAAATAATAAAAGAAGGGTAAAATACACCTTTTTCACTAAACTATATTCTCTCTCTTAGTTTACTTACCGTAATTTTACTCTTTTTAATTTACTTACTGAACTTTTGAATTACTCTTATTTTGATCACTCTGAATTATTTTATTATTATTTGTGTATGATGTGGTATTTTTATCATTGTTTAATATAATATCATTTTGTTGAGATTAAATATATCCCAAATCTATGAATCTTGACTGAAACGTTTCAATTTTTTCACTTTTGATCTCCAATTCATGGATTTCAGAGCAATTTTTGACAAAATAAAAGTTGGATTTAGACTCGGGGTGTCGAGAAGAAGCTACCCATGAATTTCGAGACCGAACGACCACCATCTACGGTAATCGAGGTGGTCGGCACCTTCTAGTTTTATTTTATATTTTTAATTATTTTATTTAAAATAATTGATAGGGTAAACTACGTGTTTAATAATTGAATTATCCTTTTTGGTCCATTTTAGTATTTAATTTTTTCAAAATCATATCTAAAATTTAGTTTTTGTTTCATTTTAGTACCTTGTTAAAACTTTAAAATTAAATTTTGAATTTTTTTGAAAGTTTAGATACTAAAACTAATAGTTTAGTAAAACGGACTAAAATTGATAGTTTAAGGACTAAACACGTTAAGTTTTTAACGACGGGTACTAAAATGAAATAAAAAACTAAATGTTAGGTATGATTTTGTTAAAATTAAAAGTTTAGGTACTTAAACTTATCAAAATTGGTAATTTAGGTCTATTGTTTAGTTTTTGTTTCATTTTAGAATACCGTTAAAAATTTAATGTTAAATTTTGATTTTTTTAAAGTTTAGGTACTAAAAAGGAATAAAATGATAGTTTAGGTACTAAAGACGTTAAGTTTTTAATGACGGGTACTAAAAATAAAATAAGAACTAAATGTTAGATATGATTTTGTTAAAATTTAAAGTTTATATACTATAACGGATAAAAGCTGATAATTTAGATACTAAACGTGTAGTTTGCCCTAATTAATATGATTGTTTGTTAGGGCTGAGCCTGATCGTGAAACCCAAATATCCAGCAGGTCGGGTCAGGCAGGTCTCGATTCTCGAACCCAGAGTTTCAATGGCCCATTCATTAACTGTCATTTCGAGGCAAGAACACGACGAAATTCTTCCAATCGCGCGATTGCAGTTGAACAACCCAACGATACGTACGTCGGAATCTCGATTCCTAAACGATGATGACCAGTTACCCGGTATAAATACTTACATGAAATGTAAGAACTCTTACCGTCAGTGATTTCCCTCCTTGGTTCCTACTCTTTTCTTCGATCTTTCCTCTATATATTTGCGAATTGAATTTTCTGAAACTGAAACCTCGACGAAACTTGCTGCAATTTCATGTATTAAAACCATGTTAGCGCCAATTTTATTGATCTCTCAATCGGCTGTAATTCGAAACTTGAGCTACAACTTCAAGCCTGCAGCGGTAACATTATCCGATGGCACCTAGAAAGACAGATCGAGTGGGCTCGAAATCACAATCGAAGAAGAAACTGAGAGTGAAGGTCGAAGCCAAACGAGTGAAAGCGGAGATCGGAAAGGTAAGGAAAGAACAGGAATGCTTAAAAGATGAGCAGAGGAAGTTAATAACAAGGTTTAATGAGATTGCTAAAGAGTGCGATGAACTGAAAGAAGAAACAGAAATGATCGAGAAGCAATCGGCCATTACTCAAGCCAAGCTCGTTCTCATGTTCGGAATCTTGAAGGCTCGTGAGGCTGGAGATTTGGTTCAAGCTGCTAATCTGACTCGACACCTTCGGTTTGCTTCTGCAAAACCTTGTTATACGTACATAAGATCTCATGAGAGTTTTATTATTTGGATAAACTACAAATTTCATCACTGAACTTTTCTCTGTCTCCTATTTTACTCACTAAACTTTAAAGTTTTTAATTTCCTCGTTGAACTTAAGACATTGGGTTTTTTTGTCACTGAACTTTACTCTCTCTCTTATTTTGGTCACTTTGTCATGAGATAGTTAATGGAGTTAAAAAAATACACCATTTAAAAAAAAATCACTAAAACGACGTCGTTTTGTATCTATATAACAGTCTACTTTAACGCCGTTAACTATTTTAACAACTAAGTGACAAAAAAATCCAATGTATTAAGTTCAGTGAGAAAATTGAAAAAACTTAAAGTATAGTGAGTGAAATAGAAGAGATAGTAAAATTCAGTTACTAAATTTGTAATTTACCCTTATTATTTTAACTTGGTTAAAGCACACGGCACAATTAAACTATGCTCAAATAATTGTTTGATCACTAAACTTTTAAAAATACAAAATGACCATTAAATATATCAAAAATTTACGTTTATTGCAATGTCACTACAACTATATATAATAGTTTGATCAATCTAATAACTAAAATGATCATTTGAGCAGCATTTAATGGCCTTTTGGTGTACTTTATCCTTTTTACTTTGAACGCCCCTCTCGAATAATTTGGTCTAATAGCATTCTAGGTACTTTCAAGTTTAGATATCAGTATAATTAGACTTTATCCCCTATGAGTTTAAACACTGAATAGATCTTTAATTTCTGAAGTTTAGCAATTTCGTCCCTCCTAAAATTTCATACTAGTCGGATTGCTGCATTTACTTTGCAGTGAAATCGTTGCCATGGAGAAAGCAAATGCAGCTTTGGACGAAGCCAAAGATGAAGAAGATCCATAGACTACGCCCCCGAAGGGTAATTAAGAAGCTGGGTCGTCAGCTCTGGGATGGCAGAATCGAACGGCTCGGTTTCATTGATATAAAATAATTTTATAATAAGATTTGGTGTTTGTCAACTAGTGAGTGGTGTAATGATAAAACAATGTGTTGTTATCAAGTCTACACTTGATCTTGTGGTCAAACCCCGAACAATACTCATCCGAAAAGAAGGGTTTCAGTGTGCTGTCTGGTGTATTTTAATATCCATGTTTAATATATTATGCATTTATACAGGTTTGTAAACTCGTGTTTATTGAACTTCCATATGAATGCGATGACATTTATGAAATTATGTTGGATGGAATTTGGTTTAATAATAATTTAGTTCTTTATTAATTTTAATTGTAATTATGTCTAAATATATAACGGATAATTATATTCTAATCTCATATAGGATTGAAACCTCTCGAGTTCAGAACTCATGTTGACCTCTTCTCATAATTCATGGTTGTCCCTTGTTCCCATATGTAATGAGATAAGGGGAGGTTAGATAGTAGGCTGCCCCCAACACTAAATTGAGAGCAGCTTCCGTAGGAGACCTCTAAATTATGAAATGCCCTCCATAGGACTCGATCCCACGAACTCAAGGTTAAGAACCTTGTGCTCTACCATCCAACTCAGTTGGTAGAGCACAAGGTTCTTAACCTTGAGGTCATGAGATCGAGTCTCACGGAGGGCATTTCATAATTTGGAGGTCTCCCACGAAAATTGCTCTCAACCTGATGTTGGAGGCAACCTACTATCTTACCTCCCTCTTACCCCATTACATATGGGAATAAGGGTCAACTCATAATTCATGAATAGCCTATATAATTACTTTGTTACGTGGATTATAAAGTAATAGATCCTACCCTCGGAGTCGAGATAAAATTTTAAAATTATGGGAACCAAAACTAAAATCTTTGTGTTAAAACCAAAAGAGAAGAAACTGAGTTATTGAATCCTTGGAGGAGCCAAAAAATACAAAATTTTAACTTAATCAGAAACCAAAAACATTTCTAGATGAATTGTTTTTTTTTTCTGAGAAGTCCCCATTTGACCAACGTAACGAATCGAAAAGCTCGATAAGTACTCGACTCGAGTTCTTAACGATCCGAAATGAGTTACTTGATACTCAAATCGAAAAACTCGGGAGCAAATCAAAAATATAATATATTAAGATTTTGTTTTTTTTAATAAATTATTAATTTTATTAATATTTATATGTTGATTTTTTAAATGTAGTAGGAGTTTTTATTGTATTTAATGTTTAGGTTCGAGTTTGAGCTTCAATCGAGTTAAGTTTAAGATTTTTTATTTCGAGCTTTTATGATCTTCAATTAATAGTTTCGAGTTCAAGTCATGTTTAAAAATTGTAGGCTCACGAGTTTTCGAATCGAGTGGAGTTCCATTTTAAAGTTTTCGAGTCGAATTGAGTTCAGCAATACTTGAACTTGACTCGGCTCATTTACCTCCCTAGTAGCGAAGGCTACGGCCTATCCTAGCTTCAGCCTGTGTACATTTGTATAAAAAGCGTCTAGAGTTCTCCCTTATGTTCGACAAAAGTCTCCGTTTTATTTCTTTTAAGTTTCCAATGCTTTTGTTGAGCTCCCTCTTCTTGTGTTTGACTATAGATAATATCAATCTTCAAAGTTGGAATTCAAGGTTTGTAGATGGTGTGTGTGGAGACCAATTCAAAAGCAGTGTAGTACAAGTAAATTAGAATTTTCAAAGGTTTCGTCATTAGTGGGAGTGGAGACCAGTTCAAAACCAATGTGTACTGCATGCAATTTACAACTTACATGATGCTAAAGTCACCCGAAACGTTTAATTATGAAAAAATTGTAGTAGATTTAATTTATCACTTTCGCTCCTGTTGTGTTTTCGCATCAATTTAATCATCGAAGTTGCTCAATTGCATCATTCTATATCTTACTTTAACTTAAAACCCTAAATTATAAACCCTAAACCCTAAATCATAACCTCTAAATTATAAATCCTAAACCATAAACCTTAGCTTAAGGTTTATAATTTATGGGTTTAAGTCAGGGGTGTGATATAAAATGATGCAATTGAGCAACTTGGAATGTTAAATTGATGCGAAAACACGTTTAACGAAAATGATAAATTAAGTCTACTAAAAGCGACCCTTAAACATATAATTATTCTTTTAAAATAGCGTGATACAAAAATAAGATACGAACATGTTTGGTGATACTTTGTAATGCTTTCATAATCTATGAGATAATTTTGCATGGAATGTCCCCAGATTATGATTAATACTTTAATTTGATCCTTCAATTTTTAAATATTTTATATAGATCCTCAAATTGTGGTCATATTTTAAATTAATCCCTAAACTTTAAAACGTACTATATCAATCATCAAACTATTGACATTATTCCATTTTGATCCTTATGTTAACTTGTTAATTCTGTTGGTTAAAAAAATTTATTTTTTAAAATGAAAAAATTAAGCTCGTCACCTTTTAAAAGAAAAACTCTCAAATCTTCAAAAACAAATTAAATTTTTTAGGCCACGGGTTCATTGCTTAATACCTTCGAAAACAAATCATGAGCTTAATTCTCAAGACCTTAAAAATTCAATAGAGTTGATAATATGTTAATGAAAGGATCAAAATGGAATAATATTGTAGATTGAAGATTAATATAAAATATTTTAGAGTTTAAGGATCAATTTCAAATGAAATTATAGTTTGAAGACTGATATAGAATATTTGAAGTTTAAATATAAAATTAAAATGAAAATCATAGTTTAAGAGCATCTTATGGAATCAACTCATAATTTAGACTTTCTTCCTCCCCAAGTTTTGATAAGCTCATTGGAAAAGTAGATTTAGAGATAACAATGGGATGAGACAGGTTAAAATGAGTTGTACGATTTTACTCTAAACTCGATTAGATCTCAAACTCGACTACCTCCTTCACATAACCCATCCTCAGTGTTGAAAAAACAAAAAACAAACTTATAGGAACGGATCAATGTCCGATACCCATCAACTCCATAATTCAGATGATATGGAGCTCAATTATTTTAATCATGCAAACACCTCCATACAGGTTCTCTTTTGACATGATAAAGCAAACATTTTTCACAAGCTTAAAATACTAGGCTTCATACAAGCACATTATAGTTTATACTCATAAGATGGCGGGCAAAAGTACAAACCCCGGTTCCAGAAGTTCTTCACAGATCACCCCTTTAGCTCACACGTGTAGTCTCATTCGTGCAACTTAAGCACACATCGGAGGCAACCCCCTTCATGCAGCAGATCAAATGCCTTGTTAATATCTCCGAGAGTCAAATTGTGGGTGATGTACTCATCAATCTTGATTTCCTGCAATGGGAAGGAGAACATGATAAAGTCCTGCTCACTCGATAGGTGTAGAGATAGAATTGCATATAAATTGCATTTACCTTCTTCATGTACTTGTCCACAAGCCAAGGCACTTGTGAACGACTCTTGAATCCACCAAAAGCAGTCCCTTTCCAGACACGGCCAGTCACCAATTGGAAAGGTCGAGTAGATATCTCTTGACCTGATGCCGCAACACCTATGATAACCGATGTTCCCCAGCCCTGGAAGTTTCTCGGGTTCATTAGAAGTGGCACTCCACAATCCATTTACAGTTATTAGTGCTCATCAAATTCAGTCATCACATATACCTTGTGACAACATTCCAAAGCAGCTCTCATGACAGAGACATTTCCGATGCACTCAAAACTGTAATCAACACCACCATCTGTGAGATCAACAAGGACCTGCTGAATTGGTTTATCATAGTCCTTTGGATTCACAAACTCTGTAACTCCAAAATTCTTTGCTGCAAGTTGTACATTCAACAAGAAAAAAGAAATCAGCATCTAGAAGTAGAAGACTGTAAGTAATGCATGATTTAGATTTATCACAAAGATGGATAGGCAAAGCAGTAAGCACTCATTTTGTAGCAACTATTTCCATTACTCACACTATACAGAATATTTACTGAATATTCCATATTAAGATTGACTAAATAGACTTCTTTTTAAGTATTATTATTTGTAAATTACTTACCTATATCATACTTCTTGCTATCAATATCCACACCAATTATTCTTGAAGCACCAGCTGATTTCGCACCTTCTGCAACCTGCAGAATCACACTCAAAGGTAAACTGTTTAACTTCTAACAGACTAGCACCTCAAAGAGAACAATGATGAAGATAACAAATATTTTGAAAGACATCTCAAACATGCACAGAAGTCCATAATAAACGAGTAAGAAGCATGTTTGACATTTACCGCAAGACCAACAGTCCCTAGGCCAAAAATAGCAACAGTAGCCCCTGGTTCAACTTTGGCTGTGTTCCAAACTGCTCCAAGCCCTATCCAACACAAAAAAATATTTAAGTTTGTGCAAAAGCTGCAGTATATAGAGTCATAAAACAAAATATATATGAACTGTCAAACCAAATATGTATGTAATAAAGAGAAAGTTAAACAAGCGCTTACCAGTTGGAACACCACAACCAAGAAGGCATACTTTGTCCAAAGGAGCTTGTGGATCAATCTTTGCAACACTAACATCATGCACAACCGTGTACTGGCTAAATGTTGAGGTCCCCATGAAGTGGAAGATTGGTTTCCCATTTACTGAGAAGCGGCTCTGGCGATCATTCATCATGACTCCGGCTCCAGTGGCAGTCCTAACTTTGCCACATAGGTTTGTCTTTCCGGATTTGCAGAACTTGCATTCTCTACACTCCGCCTGGTAACAAGGGATGACATGGTCACCTGGTTGGACTTCAGTTACACTTTCACCAACACTTTCTACAATCCTGCACTCAAAAGTTCAATAAAAATTTTAAGCTCATAGCAATCAAGAGGCTCAGAAACAGTAAGAACTAATGGTAAATGGCGTACCCAGCAGCCTCATGTCCAAGAATGCATGGGAATAGACCCTCAGGATCCTGAAAAGGTTAAATCAAACATATTAGTCATCATAATTAAACAGATGATAAGAAAATATCAAAAGAAAATATTGAACCAGAAAAGGCTAGGCCTCATCACTGTCACTGCAAGAGGATATACGAAAATAAAATTATATTCTTATCACTAGTATCTCACTTCAATTTCAAGTTACCAAAAAAGTATTGAAATCAACAACATTATATATATATTTCCTATTTTAAAGCAAGAATACAAAGT